ATTTAAAAAATATTAGCTAGGTACATATAAGTACAATAAAATTTAAAATTGTAATAATTGTATGTTATGTTATCAATAGTCGTTATGCTCTATTCAAGAATGATTGATGAGGTTATGGTTTATGATTGTTGTTTAGGAAGCTTCTATAGACTAATTAGGCTATAATATTACCCCTGTATTGTCCTAACCTGCCTATAGTTGATAATTTTTTCGCAAAAAATATATCAGACAACAGTAACCAATCTCGTGTTATCTTAACTTATCTACCTAAACTTACAACTTAAAATATCTCCAATTTAAAATGTAGACTATAATAAATATTATTTTATTTTATAAGTATGTATTTTTATTAAATATTACAATATCATAAAATAAAATTACCAGTAAGTAGATACAATCGATGGGTGGGGCTATTAGTTGCGTCCTTCGGTAAAAATTTCTTCCGAATTATGGCCTGAGTTTTTTTGGGGTGCGTACGAATTGCGACTCGAAATTTAAAATTAAATTTATTGAAATATGTAAATTAAAATTTAAAAAAAGCTTCATTTTCCTTCATATTTTAATACAGATTTAGGACTGTCTATAGTATCAGTAGATACTGCAGGTAGGTTAAAAATGATGTTTTTTTTATTTTAATGTTGACACTGGTAAAAACGTAAAGGATATTTCTTAAGATTAAAAATGTTTTTTTTTTTTGACATTACAATGATATTTATTAAAGTCAAAAAATGTTAGTGTAACTTAGTAAAATTAGTAAGTAATATGCCATTGGTAAAATATTATTGTATGATAGTATTTGTATAAATTTAAGTTTGTCAATTTAGTTTTTTTCTAACCGTTTCATACCATTTCTAATAAATATTTCTTTTTCAATTATATTTGTTCTGCAAGTATTTAAGTGAGTGCTTTTTAATTTTATATAGGTATTCTTTTATATATTTTGTAGAACATCGATGAATACAAAAAATATTAGGGTGAGCACTGTAGAACAAAGCGTTGAATTTCGAATGAAAAGTTTCACAATTATTAATGTACATAGTAGATGCTGAGTATTCTGCCCATAAAAAAAGGGGAAAATTGGACTCGTTTGAAATGTATATTTCCAATATACTTATAATCAACAAATATTTCTACTTTTTCATATCTTGTTTTGAATAGCCATTAAGTAATCTGTAAAACAGTCACTCACATCGTTCGAATTCAAAAACGGTAAGCCAAAAAAGTGTTTGAAATATTTACCAATTTCGATATTTTTTTTATACTCATTACTTAAGCCAATTGTTTGTATTTTTCTCCACCAACTTTGAGTTAAGTGAAATCGGCATCTTTTTAAGCTAATATAAGGCGCCCAAACTTTTTAATAGAGCTAAATGAATCGCTTTTTCAAAATCAGCAAAAACTGGTTTTGGCGAAAATCTTTTGTTGAGTTTGCTACATTCTGATATGATGTGCATAAACGCCTTTTCATATGCTTTAGTTTCTTTATTGGGAAGTATAAAAAATAAGAGTGGAGAATAATTACTATTCTGTAAAACATGAACTGTAAACATTTGAGAAATAATTTCGGACAACCCATCAACAAAAATTGTATCAACTTTACTCAAAAATGTTAAGCTATTTTAAGTAGAAAATGATAAAATGTTTAATGTGTTGTCATTTTTAATTAAAAAATTTTCGTTACGATTTGTAATTAATAAATGAGTCATATTATTTTTTAAATTTTTATGAAAACGAAATTTATATCCGTCGATTATAAATAAAGTGCGACTTTTTTCACTCAAAATTTTATTTGACATTATAATCGTGTCCATGTGCTACATCAAAAGACACATTTGTTATATGTTTGGTTATAATTTAAATATATTCATTCATTTTAGAGCCAGTTGTTATAAAATGCAATTCGTTTAAACGAATTTGTATACTGTGTATCAATACATCAAGCGACTAATTTTCACTGTCAATTCTTAGGATATAAAGAGCTCAAACTGATGTACATTTCAATAATATTTTTGAAACTATTAAAAAGACTAGGTACTAATGATCTAGACACTGCGATTAAAATTCCAAGATTTTCAAACAAACAAATTGCTTAAATCAGTCAAATCATAACAATGCCACACCTGAAGAATACTATGTAGAGTTTCATTAGGTATGTATGCCGTGTTTAGATTCGTTAATTAATATTTAAGAATCTTGTTGCACACAATTAAATTTTATTTGAAATAAATAAATTACATCCATCAGAAGTTATAAAATTAAGCAAAAGTGACTTTATATGTACACTATTAAACGTAAAGTGTTATAGACATAAAATTGATAATCTATTACCTATTTATCACAGTAGGTATAGTCATTTACAATAGGTAACTAATAAAATCAATTATTTTTACACATATATTAGATAGGTAGTCCATAATTTGTTTTAAATATATTTGATGAAAGTTAAGTAACAATTGATAAAAAAATAAAAAATAAAAATTTTATCTCAACGGAATTCTGAATTATATTGACTAATGTTTGGTTATAATTGGAGCGTTCCGGTGTAGGTAGCTTACGAGTTACGAATAATTTATTAAAGAGGACGTGCTTTTTAACCATAATTAGAGATATCTAAGGGAACTAAGTCCCCCTGCGTCCCCCCACTTTAATCTCTGGAAGTATGAAATATTTATTTACATGTAGGCATGTAGCCATAAAGATATATTACATTGAAAAAATTAAAACGAATTAATTTTGTTTTTAATGGAAAAATATATTTGTTGAATAATTAGCAAAAGTATAGTGATGGGATAGGCGGTAACTTATCTTACGTCTCAATATTTCTAAATCAGACTCACATTTTAATTTCGTATGATTGACTATTAAACCACAACTAGTCAAGGAATTGAATGATGAATTTATTGTTCCGTTACACCGGCCTGCTATACGCGTCTAAATAATAATCAATACTTAAAATGTATTACCAAAATTGAATTGATTTCGAATTAATATTCGAATGTTCCATTAATTGGTCTTAAATGGGGAAACATTAACGATTTTACATTTAATACCAATAATATACCTATAATTACATAGCATACCTACCGGCTACTGTAGAGTATACGTGGACAACGCATCAAAAAACCGTAGGTACGTCATCGTCATGGCCATATAATAGGCGGTATATAAACTGGTGTTGTCAAAATAGTAAAATAACGTACGAAATTATGAAACAGTTATATAATAATAAAAACAAATATATGATTATTCGTCATGATACTTTTTTATATCTAGGTTATTTCCCAATTAGAACACTTTTTTCTACGAATTTACTTTAATAGTTAACACCATAACAACAAATAATAATTCAATATAGACAGTAGACATAGTTTCTAACACACACACCAAAAACAATAAGCACAATAATTAAATAGTATAATAATAATTAATAATGTATGACGTGGTATACGCGGAGCGATCCATTTAACTGTAGACTATACAAGTAGGTACGTTAATTTTTGATACATGACAATGAAAAAGTGGATATTGCTTTGCTGTACATTAGGTGTAATGGGTGTGTTAAATTTAAATTTAATGATTTACATATTGTATACAAAAAAATGATTCTGAGCGGAGACCGTTGCTTGCTTATTGAGTCATTAAATATATTTTATATGTTTTTGATAAAATTATTAAATTAATTAATTCTACTGTTAGACATTATTATTACCGTAAGTTGATTTATTTTTTCTCCAAAATACTAAAATGTGATTGTGTATAGTAAAATTTAAAATAGGTAAGTATGCGAAAAATTATAGTAAAATAATTATCAAAATTATTCACCATTAAAATATGTATTTTTGTCCAAATTTGAACTTTAAATATCAATACTACAAAATAATTGTGTTTACTTGTTTTTAGATTTTTGAGATTAGTATTAACTAGGTACTTATTAGAAACATAGCAATTTTATATCTTGGCCTATAAAAATTGAAGAATTTTTATTATGAAATAATTAAATAATTTTTTATTGTAATAACAGAAAAATACTTAAAAAAATTGAAAATTTCAAAGTCTAGAGTCAAAATTTGCCATGACTCCACTTATCATAACAAATAGCTTAATCTGACCTAACCTGTTTATTACCTAACGTACATAGCAAAGTTGTTTGATTTCAGCCTGCAAGAGTATAGGACTAATTTTGTGTTAGTTTTTATATAAAAGTTAATTGATCAATAATTTAACTCAAAAGTATAAGATAGTTTTGTGTATATAAATGTTGAAAAAAAAAAAAAATAATATTTTTTTATAGTTTTAAGGAAGAAGAGACTAACATAGTATCAAATATTTATAATCGATGTAAAATAATTTAATTTATAAATGTTTATAGTTTCTTTTAAAATTAAAAAAAAACTAATACATATCTACGGATAATTTTCTTATAGCCTATAGAGTATAGATACTTTTAAGTTTAATAATGAGTGAATTAGTTAATAATTACAGTATTAACGCAGTAATAATACAAAAATACGAAATTGATTCTGATAGAACTGTTCTATTGTATACTAATTTGCTATATAGGTATACAATATGCATAACTGTGTAAGAGTCAGTCGATAATCAACACTTATGGATATGACTTAGTGTCTACACAAAACTTTTTTTTTTTATATCATGAAAACCAATATGGAAAATTATAAGCTCGTACACGTAGACGGTTATAATATTATATATTTTCCAATTATGTAATATTATTTATTACTATTATTAGTTTAATATAAAATAATGTTTACGCATCTAGGAACCTATTTATGCTATATAAGTATATTTTTTTATATGTTTAGTCGTAGGTATAAACGCGCTGCACCGGCATTGAATGTTCATTCATATATGGTCAAGACCGTGGTCGCGGGGAACGGATGACCGTGCGGCGGTGACGAGAGGAACCGGACCAAGGAAGCGGTGGCGGCGGCCTTACATCGCGGCGGCGTTGTATAATGTTGTCCTACGATGGATCTCCGTCACCGAATCTGAGTAGTGCACCGCCGCAGTTGAGGTGTCCGGGTTATACGCCGCTCTAGTTTTGCGCGCGACTTTTTAATTTTATTATGCGTCATGTGTAATATTCGATATTAATCACATCGTGTTCTATCAAACTATATCTAATAATTAACTTTTATTCTTTGTTTTTATACAATATATAATACACAAGTTAAAGGCATTAATTATTCAGTATATACCTACTAAACTATATACACACCGAATATAGCCTGCTTCTGGTATTTGGTTGAGGTACGAACGGCATAATATTAATCGTAACCATGATATTATTCTGCAGCATAAATATAACGTAATAAATTACAGTACGTTTGCGATGGCGACATTACTGAAGAACGTCACCAATTGCATATGGCAAGCGTTCAACTCACTGGACACGGACAACACGGGGACCGTGGTCAAGTCCAAGCTCAAAGTGAGTTTATCAATAGTTCAATAATACTTCTATACTACGTTATTTTAATGTATTGTACATACCTATTCCTACACTACAAGTGTTAAGGGTACGAACACTTGGATAATGACTTAAGAAGGAATAAATTAATAACTAGGTACCAACTATATCTACGATTTCAATTTTTAAAATCTCGGTAAAATATAAGTTATTATACTCGTGCATATCTTATAGAAATATAAAATATTATACTACTCCCATATGTATGTCGCAGACTACGATTATAATTTTATAATATCAATTAAATATTGTAATTCGTGGTGTACCTATTATTTTTGATACCTATTAAACAAACTTGAATTGAATAAATTAAACCTAACCGAATACTTTTAAATTAACTTCACGAATATTTCGAAATAACATTTATAAATTAATAATTATTATTGTACATAGTGTTATATCACCATAAAGTAATTTGATACATACGAGAATATATTATTATATATAATGTATAAATATAAAATGAATGTATATGTCCTCTGATTAACTGTATTTGGTATCAAAATTATTTTAATCGTTTTGATCCCATATTGTCGTCTGCGCTAGGTGACGTCACACTTCAAATGGTTTTTTCAACACCATGGATGAACATTACTATCTATAGATAAACAATATATATATATATATGAACTTATCATCGGTGACGACACGGTCGTAAACTAATAGCTTTTATTTAAAATGATAAATTTTCCCAATGAACATAATACAATGATACATTAAATCTTGTTATAATAGTATTTTACATCCATAATCTTTATATTATCTGTCCATGATCTCCATTTGTTTTGCACTTTGGTCGAAGAAAGATTAACGTATTATTTTTTCTTTATTAATAACGAATAACTGTTAAAGTACCTATGATCAAAACTTAATAACGAAAACAAATCGGTTAAGGTACAACACGTACTTATTATTTAAATATTGGAGTTCAAACACAAACTTTAATTTAAACTATACATTTATATTTAGATAAACAATTTAAAAAATAACTAATAAGTAATAAGTACACTTTAAAGTAGATGGGGCATGGATTAAGGATTTGAATGTGTTTTAGAGAAATTTATATTTTTTAATATACTTTACTTTTATATAAATTGGATGTCAATTAAGTGATAGGTATTGTAGAATGTTGGTTGTAAAAATTGATCTATTTGACAAAATTAAATTACGTATTAGGTTTGAAAAAAAAAAAAAGAAAAATATACGAAATAGTCATTATGAATACATTAAAAGTAACAAATTTGAAAAAAAAAATGTAATTTGACAGTTTGTTATTATTTATTATTGTGATCAATATAAGTTCTGTGAATGATAATGTTAGTAATGAGTAATGACTTATGAATGTAGCCAGACTATCAGAGTAGGTATGGTATATATTCTAGCCATTCTACAATATATATAAGGGCAATGATGTCATACAGTAGTTTTACTTATTCTAACACAATTATACTGAGTTAGATTTAGATAGGAAACTGTTCAAAGTAGGCATGTATGTAGTTATTTTTATGACTTATTAGTTCTTGTAGACTTAAGTATATCTTAAACATATTTTGGTATTTTTTTTTTTTAATTTAAAATGAAAGTAGTCCTTATGGCATAATACTTATTATTGTTGAATTATTTAAATTATAAATTGTGTCTCGTATTTAAGTTTGGCATATATACTGTAAAATCATAAAAATAAATATTTTTACAACTATTATCTATAAAATATAGGTAAAGTTATCCAAATTATTATGTTTGATTTTTTTTTTACTAGCTATTTACTTAATCGTAACAGTTAAGTTCTTAGGTCTATAAATACTATATTACTATAAATTTATATTTTGTAATGAGGTACTAATCATTAAGTATAATAAAAATGTATGGTTTTACTTACTAATGTATGAAAACATTTTTTTCCCTATTTTGAATACTTTTTGATTAGTTTCTAAGTTATCAATACCTGAGTCTTTTAATTTTAATTTTTGAATCTGTTGTTGAAAATATGTAATACCTGCTCTATAAGATTAAAAATATTAAAATTATTTGTTTTATACAATAAAGTTCTATAATTGAATGTTAAAAGATAAATAAATTCAGTAGAAACAGAAAATAAAATTTGGAGTATAGACATATAGTTATTAAAATATACAAGTAAATTATGATTTAATCTGTAATAGTATTATGTTAACATTTCTTTGAAAATATAAAAATAAGTCAACAAATCAAAGTTAATATTCATAAAAAAAATGTTGATTAATGGGAAGTTTTAAATTTTTGTGGATTAATGCTTAATTAAAACAATCAGTGTACACATAATTTGAAACCATTAAAGTTATTGAGTATTTATGAGATAGGAAAAAAAATCTTTTTGATAATTAGTTAGATTTACTTGTATAACTACATAGCTATAATTGTTATTAGATGTATGATATGTACCTACTATTGTAATTAACTGTATACCTAGTATCTTATAATATTATATATTCGTATAGATACTTAACTAAAAATTTTAACACAATAGAGTATAGAGATAGTTATAAAAATGAGAAAAAAAATTTAATTTTTAATTGATAAATATTGTATACTTATTTTAATGGACCCAGGACAATTTTACCTTATCACTTAAACAATTAATATATCTATTATGTATTTTAATTATCAATGTAAGATAAAATAAACCATTCATAAAACTATGTTTTGATATTTTATTTTGTTATTTTGTTTTTATAAAAAGGTTTTAACGGCAAACATCGGCATTCTCCTTGACCTTTATGGTGTAGAGAAGGGCCTTGAACACTATAGAAGCACACAAATGCTAAACTTTCAACATTACAAATACTATTTATTAAGAGAAGTATGTATATATGAATGTTAAGTTGATTTAACTATACTTATTTTACTAAAAATCTTTGTGTTTTAGGTTTTTCTTTCACTTCCAAATATTTTATCTTTACCAGTACTTCAGGAATTTGAGTCAAATATTGATGAGACATGTTGGTTAATTTGTAAAAAAGATTTTATTTCTAAATGCCAAGTTTTACCAGAGGATTGTATGTATAAATTATTCAGGGTATTTTGTTTTTTGTCAGAGCTCGTAGTGGATCCAGAAAGGCCAAATCGATTTCAAGTAATTTTTTTATTCAAAATATTCATGATCAGTTATTTTTCTAATTTATTTAATAAAATTATATACCGATAAAGGTTATTATGGATACATCTGAAGTGGGTTTGGTGGCTTCACAAATCGTTACTTCATTAGGCACTGACTGGGACCAATCTGGTTTTGAAGAGCTCATTGGAAATACTAATGGATTCCAATTTGGTACGTTTTTAACTTTACTAGAGAAGCGATATTTGGCTGACGTTGATCGTGCAGGATTGGTGGAAGCATTAAATGCAGTTACAAATACTTTCATCGATGATATAATAAAAAAAGTAAGGAAACTAAAATTGTACTTATTAAAATTTAATAAAGTTTAATATAATATTTTTATTTATTTTTGTCAGGGTGTATTGTTCAAACGAGGTTATTTATTGCCAACACTGCGAGAGTATTGGTTTGTATTAAAACCATGTCAACTATTATACTATAAGAATGAAGAAGAAAAAGAGCAGTGTGGATCTATAACATTAGATCCAAGATGTTGGGTAGATTCTAATTTACAGCGTATAATGTTGCACACAACTGAAAGAACTTTTGAATTAGCCACCAAGGATCATAGGTGAATGGAATTTTATTAAAAAATAGTATAAAACTAGCTGTAAAGTATGTGATCTGAACATGTCTATGATTTATAAATTAATTTAATAATAGTTTAAAAATATAATAATTAATAATTAGGTATGTGATGTTTTAATAAATATTTCAGGAGTCGTTTACAATGGCTGTCTGCTCTAAAATTAGCAATATCTTATTCTGCGGGTACAGAAGGTTATCAACGAACATTGTTGCGTCGTAGGCAAAAGCGAAGAAAAGCTGAACTTCAAGAGAAACATAGAAGAAGTAGCATAATACATGACATGGATGTTCAGTTACAGGCTGAAAAACAAGTATATACAATTTTGAGTTTTAATATTATTGGTATTAACGATGCAATATTTTAGGCTAGAGTGGCTATGGAAATTCAGGCAAAAGAACTAAAAGTGGCTAGCGAAAAACATGTTGAAGAATTGGAAAGTTTACTTGAGGAAGAAACACAAGCAAAACGTGATGAAGAAATAGTTCGTAATTTACAAGCTAGGTAAAAATAATTATTATATCTTGATAAATTTATGTTTAAATTGATATAAGATATTAACATAAAATTTTATATGTTCTATAAAAATACTTAAAGGAATAAATCAGCTACTATAACTACTATATAACTAATATTATTGTAATTGGTTAATTAACCAAATTTTTTTTTATGTTTAAAATTATTAGAATTAAGTCATTCAGCTCTAACCTCTTAGTAATTTATTCAAACTAAACTTGTTTACGAAATTTTCAATTATGAAATAAAACTGATTTGCTTATTGTTTTATCATGAATATTATTGTTTTAAGAGTATTAAGAGAAGAATGGGAGAAAAGAGAAGAGTTGGAAAGATTACAAGAAGAACATATATTACTATTGGAGCAAGAACGAGAAAAACGAAAAGAATTTGAGATTAAACAACGAGAGAAAGAAAATCAATTGCTAGGTAAAATACATAGAATAATTCATTATTAAATAGTTTATGTAAATATTGTAAAATGATTATTAAATTTGTCAAATATTTTAGCTTGAAAAAATTGGATTATTGTTTTAGAAGCCCAACAGAGGTTAATTGAATTGGAAGCTGAAAAACAGCGACTTGATGACGAATTGACAAGAGCTCAAAAAAAGATTAGTATTTCTGAAAAAGCTGTGGCATCAATTACAATAGTAGACCCTGTAATGTATTATTCATTTATATTTAAATATGTAATCATTAAAGTTGCATATAAATGCAAAAATATCAACAATATTATAAAATGTGATAAAGATTTAAGAATATTAAATATTGATTGTAGTATTATGTGATTACAGTAAAAAGTTTAAAAATTAAGATCAATTTTATGTATTTGCAGGCAGATACATTGAACATAAAACCACAAGTTAAAGTGAGGAGGACAATGTCATTTATACCATCCACAAAGGAACGACCAATTAATTTTTATAAGTGAAAAGACTAACTATTTTTTTTATTGTTTATTTATAATTAATTTTTATAATTATATGTCTTGTATATTAAAATTTATGGATTTCTATAGTTAAATTATAAAACCACTTGTAAAATGAATTACAAAATTTTATTTATTTAATAAACATGAGTTATGACTTATGAAATAAAGGGAAAGTACTTATTTGAATGTTGTATCTCTAGGACGATATGGTATACCTCTGGCCTTCATTTCCCTTACAAAGTTTGGAGGTAATCGACCAGCAACAGAAATAGCATAAATGCCTTTTGTAAATCTATCTGTAAGATTAATAGTTCATTAAATATCTATTAAAGTATTTTATATAATTAACAATAATATTAAATAAAAATTGAAAATTACTGATTTTTTGCCATCTAGCAACCCAGCTGTCTTCAGGGCTCATTAGTGCAACCATTCTATGAAAACATATAAAATATAATTATGATATGTTTTTTTTTATAAGTAGTAAATACTACATACCCATCAAAATTTGAACTTGTACAATCATATACATGATCACGGTTATTTTTCATTCTCAAAAATTCATCACAATTGTCACAGCCATCAAATTCAAATTGATCAAAAGACTGCAAAGAAAAAAATCATTTAATTATTATTTAAATTTTTAAGATTACAGCATGACTATAAGTATTTTAATTGAAATTATTTTAGTTATTTAATCATTAATGAGCATTTTATTTTATCCATTCATTTATCATTAGGTGTAATGATTTTAGTGATTTTACACACTATAAATTTTAATTACAGTTTTTACTTGACATTTTTAATTCTTTTTGAAACAACTTAGAAGAACGCTATTTCTACATTTGTCGTCTTTGTCTTCTAAGTACGTAACATAGCAAATATACGCTCACTAGTATACATTTAGTCTTGTCAGCTTATTAAGTGAATCAGTAATGAAACTCAAAAGTAAGGATTTTAGCTGTGTTCACATGTATGTTTTTTTAAGAAATTTTGTGAGTAATAAGCATTTTTAAAGACTATATTATTTTATAAATGTAAAACACAGTAAAAAAAAATTGAATTATTGTAAAAAATCAAAGCGGGTATAGTATAGAGTACTCTTAATGAATTTTAATTGTTTCAATTATTTATTGATTATTTATGCATGAATATAAAAATGTATTTTTTGTTTAAAATCAATCAATTTTTTTGCAGTTACACTAAATTATTGGTACATTAGACAACAATAACTTAATTTAAAATGCAATTTAAGGAGTTAAGTTACAGATGCACATTCAAGTTAAAATATTTATAGATAGTTTATTAAAATTTTTGAAAATAGTAAAAAGTAGTGTTTAATTAAAGCTAAAATAATAGAATTAAACAGATAGATTAAATTATATATATTATAAACTTAATGTTAAGATAGTTTATTAAAAAATTTCGTTTCATTTTACATTTATCAATCATAATAATTACCTTAATTAACGAACACACAAGACATGCTCTAGCGGATCTCATATCTTTGGGAATCGAGTCCAGCGACATTGTGGTTTGGACGATAGTCGTACAGTTTATAAGAAGATGTAAGTCAACTAATTAATAAAAGATGTTGGGAGCAAAATTCAGTTTTTATAATAACTATCAAATGTATTGAGTGAATGACTGAAAAATCCAAATAATATCCAAAATCTAATAATGTAAACGTTATTCTTTAAGTATTAAGTGATAACTGATAAGTGATAAGTAACTAATGAATGATATTCAGTATAATGTAAACATAGTATGTGTAATAATTAATAATTATTATCTATGTTAAATGTATTCTCTATAGTGTAATATTATTCTTCTATGTTCTGTGATAATATTATTTTCCTTATTATTTTTTACATACATATTATACATATATATATTTATTACATTATCAGAAAAAAGAAATATTTTATCACAACCGTCCATATTTCAAAGATGTTGTAAAAAAATGATAGCAATATCTCACAGACTATAATAAATTATATAGTCTGATGATATTGCATGAGCGCATTATAGCTGTAGCTTGTCTCAACATGAAAGCGCTCAGCTAACTTTTTAGGAATAATATTGTAGTTACCGTTTACCGAATGCTTTTGTTTTTTAATAGAAACTGTATTTTTTTTTATATTCTAACCGGATAGTTATACAGGAAACCTGGAAATAATTTACGTCTTAAATAATTGATTCGGTATATTGATGTATCGCAGTGGCGTAACCAGGATTTTTCGAGGGAGGGGGGGTTTAAGTGAAAATTAAACTTAGTTTTTTACAGTTTTTGTTGCCCAATTGAACTATTCAAGAAAAAAGTTTAGTTGTGAACTTGTGAATATACAATACTATAATAATATATTATAAACACATCAATATGAAAATAGAATTAATCAAATATATAATAATATAAATAATACATTTATTAGATGTGGAAAGACAGTGGGGGGTTAACTCCCCCCGTCTACGCCATTTTTACAAATTTAATAATTATAATTACACTATATATTATAGTAAAAAATAAATGTATTTTTGTTGGAATAGTTAATAGAAATCATTTTTTATTCATTCCATAGCTTAAATTAATTATTTACATAGGTACTTAAAAATAAAATTATGATCTTATTATGATATTTAGCTCATTATTTTCTAAAAATGTTTACTTACTTTTATCATTAATTTTATTAATTTTTATTATTTTTTTAATGTAAATTTTTAATTATATTGACTTTTTTTGACTTCAAATATTAAACATGTTTTAAATTGCTTATAACTTTTTAAAACAGCATAAAAACAAACAATGTATAATATACATTTGTTTAAAAAAATATATATATTTTAAACAATAAAAACATGGTTTTTTTTTTTTTTTTTTTTTAAAACATTTTTTTTTCCAATTCTGCATAATAGTGAATTAGGAATGATTAATTTTTCCTTTATTATATTAATAAAACAATTTGTACTTTAATAATATTATTATTATAAAATTAATTATATTAATTAGAATTTATTAAAAACAAATATTTTAATTCGGTTCGATTACATAATAGGTATTACATTTTAATACAACAGTATTTATATAATTTCATAAAATACCTAATATACATAGAAGTACTGCTTATTATTTAATATATTTATTATTTGTTCACATTTGTAGTTTATTTTCAAATAAAATGTTATTTAATTCTGAATCTGTTTCGGAATGGTTTCTGAATCATTTACCTTATATGTTTCTTAAGAAGCTAATAAATTCAATGTGTTTATTGATAGTTCAGTTTTAGGATTTTTCTTTATAGTTCTTTTTGTTGTAATTAGAGGATTAGAAGAAATTAGAAGAAAATGCAATAAGCCTAAGTTTGTACTTATTCGTGAAGATTTTCTTGTGTGGTGTGTTCGTGCTATCTTTTATAGTTTTTATTTATACCCTCTTGCACTTCTTCTGAAAGAATCCCGATTGGTATCAAAATATATTTTATAACCTGAGCTTCACGAATTAGTCCTTTATGTACGGATAGTGGCGTTCTGTACAATCATATAGCTACATAAAGTTGTGCAGTTATTTTAGAATAGTAATCACATTTTTCAATATCAATTTCTAAAATTGTACTTACTCGATTAATTAATTTTAAATTTATACTTCAGTAATATCGGCTACTTTTTCGGGGTTTTAAAAAATCGTCTTACCATATTGCCGGCGACATTAGATGGTCCCGATCCTTGAGTATTTTTATGTATTTTTAACCCTATTTCATTCTAAAATAATAAAAAAAAATTCTGGTCAATATGTTAAAAATGATTGTTGAAGATTTTCCACATATTTATGTAGTGTTCCGAATTTTTTTTAAGTATACCTGCAGTTACTAATTGTGAAAGTGAACGATTTTTTTTCTATACTAGCATTAATTAAAAATAAATATCGTTGTATGATGTGTGAATCAAGACTGACATCTCTATCAATACTTTCAATAATAGAACGTAACATAACAATGATTATTTCATTTGAAGATATTATAAGATTTTCAGAGGGAAAATCCAGAAAAATGTTTTTTAAATTTTTATTAGGTTATATATATATTTTTTATTGCATACGTATGCCGACAAATGTACATTACAATTAGAATAAAATATAATTTTTATATTTTTTAATCGTTGGTTAACAAATATAAAGTACTGTTTCATCGATTAATTGTGACTATACTGCAATGTAAAAATGTATTATACTTAATTGTTTTTGGTGAAAGAGTCTTATCAAAAGTAATAGTTCCCTTATATTATGATTTATGACCATAATCCAGCCCTAAAAATATGCAATATATTTAGCCATGAATTATTATAAGTAATTGTTAAGTACATATAATAATGCATTCATACATAATATTTTTGTATGTATATTTATATTTGACTCATTTAATTTTAATGAATGTTGCAAATTTTTTATATACAGATATATTAATTTACAAATAGCAGTATTCAAGGTGGTAAAAAAAATAAAAAAAAAATATTGAGACATTTTTTAAAAGGTATCTACAATTTAAAAATTTAAATTAAACTTAATTTTAGAATTTTGATTATTTATTAATTTAATTTAAGTATTTATTAATTAAAAAACAAAACCTCTCTGATTGGGTAAAATACATTTTTTTTTTTTTTGATATTTCATATTGGAGATAGTGATAGTTTATATATTTGTAATTTGCATAGTTTAATTTGTATACTGTACTGTAGTTAATAGTAAATTTAAAAATAATAATTAACGCAATCAAAACAAGTTATTGTTTAAAAGTGGAAATAAAAAATAATGATATTTTTAGTTATAAATATTTACAAACTAAAATATATTTTATATTCCAATAATTTTTGTCTCAAATAATTATTAGCTATTTTGTTAACATTTTTAATTAATTTTAAGTATAAAACGATTTTTAACCAGATTAAAAAAAATATTAGTAATTTATATTTTCATTATCATATAAATGCTAATTTAATTAATTGGGTTAGAAGGTAAGTTGAGAAAAATGGTAGGTTTGTAGAGAAATATTGTAAAATGTTTACATTAGTAAAATTTAATGGATAGTTTTTATAATAATTATTGAGTTATTGTTGATACAATGTTAATAGTCAATAATAATTGTTAGGTTAACTAAAATAAAATTATTGAATTTGTTAATAATATTGAAAATGTTGTCTGTTGGCATAATTTTTTTTTATTCTTTACTCAGGTATGTTAAATTTTACATTTAAAGTTTGAAACACCAGTATGTAGTAGATACGGCCGATGCGGGCGTGTATAATATTTATTGTCAAAAACGGCAGGAAAATCAGACAATGAAATGGGGCAGACGTTTTGAAAATAATGTTAAAATAATAAAGAGCATGTTTCTCTTAGTATATAATTTGGTTGATTATTATTCTATGGCGTATAAACGCTTGAAGGCAAACAATAGCGGTTCTATTTTAATTATTAATTTTGCAAGATGCTGCATTGCCCGTACGCCGGAAATAATGAAAAGCTAATGTCTAAGGGCCGTACTATAAAATTATTTACTATCTAAAAATGTGTCTGACATATAACTATAATCAGAGTTCAGTGTTCTCAATTTATGAGATCTGTTTTTAAAACAATAGTTATGACTTATTTTTATTATTTTTTTAAAATTTTAAAACTGTAGTTAAATGAAAAATACGATCATATCAAACGTATATATTTCCTTTTAAGATGTATATACAATATATATGACATATGTATATTACACATACATACAGGGACGAACCAAAGGGGATCACGGGGGTGTTACACTCATTTATTCGGCAATATTTGATTTTCAGTTGGCTAAATGTAACTAAAAGTAATTTAATAGTTAACAAAAATTTTGAAGGCTACACCCTTTCCCCTTCCCACGATTTTTAATTTTGAGATCGTACCTGCATACATACTATACATAGTATTTACATAAATATTATAATATGTAAAAATATGTGTTTTTATGGTTTGTTTGTTTTTAATTACAAAATAGTAAATGTTTTTTAAAAATATATATATTACAGAAATATGTTGAAATAGAATAATGTAAAAAAAATAATCTTTAATAATTAATCTATAATTAATTTAAGTACATTTCAATTGTTTGAATTTAGTCAATTTAGATACAGGAATTTTAATTTTTAAGTAGGTACTCGTATGATACTTTTTTTCACAGACTGTTCAATCATAACTGTTTTTGATAATTTACATGATATAACGAATCACGTTATTATTTTATTTCACATTATATTCGTAATATATTTTTGAAATGAAATCTTTATGATAATGAAAAATGATACATATAATGTACTTGGCTTTTAATTAGTGGTGTAATTTTAATCTATGATCTAAGTCATCCTTTCATACTATTTTCGCTGACTATGCTTTTACTTCATAGATTATTTTGGGATTTGTTTTGTTAGTTTTTAGATTTATTGGTCACTCATTATTTGAGTATTGAATAACATTAGAAATACAATGTAATTTGCTTTTGTAAATATTTACGAAAACTTGAATAGATGGTGCGAAAAGGGTATTATTTTGTATGCCGACTTGGATATTCTGGAAAGCTCTGATTTTTTTTTATTGAGCACGTGTTGACCTTAAAAATGATGTGCGAATATAACCTGTATTGTAGAAACCCACTACCGCGCCACTGGTGGTGTCGCCTATGATTGTTGGTTTTCATTGGGGTAGTGAACAGCGTTTTGCGCGGTTTGGGCGCCAGTTCGCCGGCATCGCTCGCACGTTTTCGCTGTTTCTTCTGATAGATCCCGTAAGTATTGTTTTTAATATTAATTCGGTTACTATGCGTGTAATTAAAAATTATAGAAAATAGGTATTTTTGTTTAACATTTAAGGGTGATAATATATTGTGTTAACAAATTAGCTTCAGTTGTTTTTTTTGTATTTGAAGTTTTTAAAGTAGGAAAATATAATATAAAGTCATAAACGTAATTTTAAATGAATTGAAATTGATTTAATATAAAAATTAAAATAACTATCTATTTATTAATTTTAATTATATGAAACCAATAATTTAATGAAATAGTTTAAAGTAATTATTTTTTGTGTCTCATAGGTCATAGGTGTAATTATAAAGTAGGTATGAGCTAAAATTAATATTCCACGTTTTAATATTTTAGTCTAGCTAGTATTAAATTAATTTAAGCGTGAATGTGTACAAAATAAATGTATAATATATATTATTTAAATTTAAACAGATTTTATTGATTTAAAAATTTGGTTTGAAAATATGATTTCTACAATATAGATCGTAAATGTACAACTTTATTTGATGTTTAAGGTTTTAGAAATATGTACCTTAAATACTTCAGTTAAAATATTTCATCAATTGGTTCAGTTACTTAAATTGTTTAAATAAAGTTAATTGACTAGTATTACATAATATTCTGTTTCTATTTGTTTATAATTAATGAGTGTGTCGTAGCATATGTTAGCGATAAATAATGGTTTGAGCTAATTCTAACAGCTTCCAAAATTAAAACTGTATCTTACATGTTTTTAAAAGATTTTTGAATATTAATTCATAGTTTTATTTTAATGATATTTAAGTATTATTCAATATTTGTTATTTATAAAGCCATAATTTATGAATTTTGTATTTATTATTTTAATATAACTTATGTTATCAATTATTATTTATTGGAAATTAAATTCATCATTTTATTGGATTAATAATTAAAACTTACAATGAACTAGAGTTGGAATATATAAACATCAGAAAATTGTCCCTAAAGGTATTATATATAAATTATAAATTTTTTGTAAAAATATTATATACTAAATCTGAAAAAAATCTTAAAGAATAGTAGAGTTATATAGCTAGTTTGTTATAAAAATAATATTTACCACTATGTGATAATTTAAAAAAGAATGTAATTCAAATTTAAAAGTCAGTAATTTATTGTGTTGTACATTGATATATTATGTGTTAAAAAAGCATTATTGTTCATATTATTTACACAATATTATAGGCACTTATTTTTATATTAGTTATAATACAAAAAAATATTTACATTATACCTATAAAATATAAATGTGTACCATTTTGAAATATATGTCAGAAATCAGTGTAACACTATTTATATTTTTAATTTCTATACTAATGTCTAAAAATTATAAAAATGTATAAAAAAAATATAATTTTTATAGCAAATGGTCTTTACAAAACTTGTACCAGTACCTTTTATTATACATCATAAAATATTATACATTTTGTATAAATAAACACCTTTTTATTCCTAGGAAGTTGATACTCAAACAATATACTTAAATCTTTTATATTTGAAATTATTATTGTTCACATTTTTACCTAATTATTTATCTTTGTGTATTGTTAGTTTAAATATAAATAAAGTTAATAGGCAATGGGTACTTATTTTAATATTCATAATTTTGAACATATAAATGAAGTTTGGATAATATTTGTGATTTAAGCTAGTATTTAACTAAATATTATAGAGGTTTCAGTTTTTAGTTATAATGTGACTATAAAAGGTTTCATTATCTAAAGTTTTACTTGCTTTATATATTATCACAAACCTTATTGAGTTAGCAATTAATCAACTTCATTAAATTAGGAAAAAAGTCAAATCTTTATACTTATAGTTTTAAATTGTTTTTTTAGAGTTTGAGTTACTAATAAGTTATAGTTATGTCGAATAATTTATCGACATTTTTTAAAAACACCATAAATAATTTGAACAGTACTCTATTTAAATTATAAATTGATGACAGATAATACATTTTATTTTAAAATATAGTATATTTTTAAACTGTCTACTGCTTAAAAAGTTTCATATAATTACTTTTTTTTTTTAATCTTATGATGGTATTCATTACGTTGATTATTTTTACTAGTTTTTATTGGGTTTTAATATGAAAAATAACGTAGTTTGTGTGAATATAATATTTGTTATACAACGTTTCGATGTTTGAATGTTAGGAATTTGTTTTTATTTGTTCCGTTGGGAAAACTTCTACTGTTTATTGTTTAACAAAACATATAACTACTAATAAATCCAGAAACTTAAACTTTTGGGCATGGTCATGTTTATAATATAAATTATTATGATGTTTTGTAGTTTTATAAATTAAAATTATAATACACAGGATCAATAAGAAATTGAAGTAGGTATCTAATACAAGTATTTTATGATTCAATTTTTTTTTAACGGAAATTTTGCTTATTATTTATTTATTAATTGAAAATTTTATTTTGTTATTTAAGATTAAGTGATATAAGTTAAATTAAAATCGTGAAAAATATTTATCTTTCTTAAATGTGTTATAAAAGGTATCGAATAGAAGAGATGTACTGAATGTTAGATTTTCATATATCGTTGTTCGATTAGTTGAAACAAAGTATTGTAATGTTATTTAAAATTATTTATTATGTTATTATATTTGCTTCGTCAGTAATGTCTACATTTTTAATAAATGTACTTTTACGTCGGCAAGCTGATACAACTTGTACCTATATTCGAATATGTAATTTTATTGATATATAAATTGACAAATAAATTGAATTGTGTCGAATAATTTTAAGCTGATTACACACGTTGTAATTTTCTCTTCGAACTTTTTCTAAATAATCTAATTTCAAGGAAATTCCAATTATAAAAATATACACATGATCGTTTCTATGTTCCAAATTCGTAATTTAAATAAAAGTCACATCAAATAGGATTATAATTTTTTTTTATTTCCTCATAGATATGACAAAAATATTGTATGAACGTGTTTGTTTTTAAAATATTGGTATATTACAGATGTACTATAATATTTCCAAGGAAAATCATTTTGACAAAAGTGAAATTTAATGCCCCTGCTGGGACATTGGCTTCAAAAAACATGGGACGCGTGCTTAATAATAATAAATAGATTACCTATTTTCGATGGAATTATGTGTTTTTGGTCACAGCAAAGAGTGGATGAGTGAAAAAAGTAAAGAAATTAATCTAAATTTAGAGATACCGATAAGGGGATTGACATAAACGCAAATAAATCGTTTTGCTATGATATTGTACACCTTTTTATTCGTGAATTGTGTCTTGATTAAAAACTATATACTATGTTTTTGTTTTCCATGGCTTTAGCCTTTCGTGTTAGTTATTTGATCTACTCCGAATACCAATTTCCCGTATTTTCCTCAGTTTATGCTTTCTTTTATTTTAGTTTTTTTGATGGATTTTTGTGAAAAAAGTACCTATTTGAAACTTTGTTGGTTGGAATAAATTCAATGTCATTAAACATAATCTATAATAAAACGAAAAATACTCGCAAAGAAAATTACTGACATGGAAGTTTATTTTATCCATATTAATGAATCATTACTGTGTTCTTTATTTAAATATTTATAAATTATTGAAAATAATGTAGAAAAATAAAAATTATATTACTTAATTGTAGTTATTACATCAAAAATAAAATATACGCCTATTATAATAGTTATTGTTTTTACCACTTATTTTTTTTATAGTGATTATATTATTTTTACTTTATAACATTTCTTTTTATCGAATCGTACCGTAAAATATCCAGCTGAATAGTATATAAAATATACATAGTTTTGATATTTGTAATTTGTTTTAGTGTCAGCTGAACTGATTTTACAATTTAATTTTTTTAAATTTTTTAGTAGTTTAAGTAGTTTTGCGACATTGGGTGATTTAAATGTACCTAAACTTTGAAATACGTGTGAAATTTATAAATTAATAACTAGTGAAAATCTTATAGTGCACATAAACAAATCTACTTGTATTTTGATCAAATCAAATTTTGTTATGTTTTTTTTTTATATTTTAAACTCTACAATAAACAATTTCTTAACTTTTTTTGCAATTAGGTTTTTACGTTTTAAAATTTTTTTATATTGTATTATCAATATATTATATATATTATTGATAGAGAAGTTTTTGCTAGTGTATAAAGTGTATGTGTATTTTCTATTTTTTTATTTATTGGGTTGTGGTAATTTTAATTAAGACAATTTATTTATTTATTTACTCATAATAAACACCTATAATGGGCTGTTTAGTACAGTTGATACAATGTTTATATAATAAAAAAAGTTTAAATTATTTAACTTATACAGAATATATAATAAGTAAAAATGTACAGATAGTTAATAGATAAAAAAAAATATGATTAGATTACAGATTTTAACTTGGTTCGGTTATTATTGAAAAAAATTTTTTTAATTAATGTCTTGTGGTGTAATATTATATTAATCAGAGCAGAAAGATAGTAATTTCGGTGATGAATATTTGTGTAGAATGTTTGAGTTACACGACTTTTAAAAGAAGGGACATGTATTGACTCGGTGTTCTGGACAGTCAATTTGAGAATTGAGTAAGTTTTGGAGTCTAAATTTTCTTCTTTTTTTCGTGTGATTCAGCTTGTTGCTTAAAAGATGTACCAGTTTTGTTTGTTTTATGAGATATTTATACGTAAAAGCCTATTTTGAAGACGTTAAATTTTATTCATTAAACTAACTTGATAAGGGTTCTAAATTACTGAGTCATATTCTAAAATAAAATAAAAAAGAAAGAAATATAGTACTTTAAGCAATTTAGATTATTGAATTCTTAACAGTTGCGGTGATAAACCCAAATGTACGAGAGTTTTATAACATATATTATGTATATGATTTTTAAAAGATATAACTTGATAATAGAATACCTAAATCTTTAATTTGAGATTTTACGGTTAAATCTAGACCATTCATTTTATATTGTTATGTTAAGTTAA